TAAACAATGGCACAACAATAACCACCCTTCAGTCCTCCGACACTTGACGCGGGGCTGTAGATGATACAAATATCTCTGCCAGGGGCCGCACAATTTCTTCCCTAACGTCCCACAATATCCTTGGATACACTTGATCAGGTCCTGGAAATGTATCTGCCTTTATGCTTTTTAAAACCTCCAGCACTTCTTTTTCTGTAATGTAAACTGTTTTCAAAACATTAATATTTATTTCCCTGAGTTCTCTAGCCTCCATTTCATTCTCAACAGTAAAAACTGACGTGAAATATTTAATATCCCTCCCATCTCCTGAAGTTCAATGCAAAGATGACCTCATTGATCTTTAAGGGGTTCTACTCACTCTCTCGTTGCTCCCTTGCTCTTAATGTATTTGTAGAATCTTTTTGGATAATCTTTAACTTTGTCTGCCAAGGCTATCTCATATCTCCTGTTTGCCCTCTTAAGAATGCCCCTACACCCCTTATACTCTTCAAGAGAATCACTTTACCTTGGTTGTCTATACTCAAAATATGACTCCTTATTCTGGCTGGCCAGCAATTATTGCCCATTCCTAGCTGCCCTTGAGAAGGTGTTGGTGAGCTACATTCTTGAACTGCTGCAGTCCATGTGCTATAGGTAGACCCACAATGCCCTGAGAGAGGGAATTCCAGGATTTTGACACAGCGACAATGAGGGAATGGTGAGTGGCTTGGAAGGGGACTTGCAGCTGGTGGTGTTCCCATGTATCTGCTGCCCTTGTCCTTCTAGATGGAAGTGGCCGTGGGTTTAGCAGGTGCTATCTGAGGATCTTTCGTGAATTTCTGCAGTGCATCTTGTAGATAGTACGCACTGCTGCTACTGAGCGTTGGTGGTGGATGCTTGTAGGTGTAGTGCCGAACAAGCGGGCTGCTTTGTCCTAGATGGTGTCAAGCTTCTTGAGTGTTGTTGGTGCTTCAGTCATCCAGGCAAGTGGGGAGTATTTCATCACATTCCTGACTTGTTCCTTGAAAATGGTGGATAGGCTTTGGAGAAAAGTTATTTACCAGAGGACTCTGACATGTCCTGTTAGCCATAGTATTCTCATATTGTCAGGCAGATACCTGTGTTGGAGCTGTGTGAGATAGCTTGACTAGGGACGTGGACACGTACTGGCCATGACAGTATCGGTATGAGTAATCACGGCACATTATTAATGGAGACAAATTCCCATCTTCACATTGTAGATACCCTCCATCATTGTGTGCCGTATTACTGTGCTAAATGGGACAGACTTGAAGCAGATCTAGCAACTTAACACTGGATATCCACGAGGTGTTGTGGGTCAACAGGAGCAGGAGAACTGTATTCAAATACAATCTATATCCCACATTACTACCACAACAGGAAATCAAACCTAGTTCAGTGAAGTACAATCAATGAAGAGTGCAGAAGGATATGTAGGAGCAGCACCAGGCATGTCTAAAAATGAGCTGTCAACCTGATGTAGCTACAAAACAGGACTACCTAATATTAGCAGCATAGGAAGCAAGTGACAAACAGGGCTAAGCAATTCCACAACCAACGAATCAGACCCAAGCTTTGCAGGCCTGCTACATCCAGCTGTGAATGGTGATGGATAATTAAACAACACACTGGAGGAAGAGGCTTTTACAGATATCCTCATCCAGCGTTGGGCTCCTGAGCGCGGGGATCCACCGCTCATGTGGCGGGTCTGGCCACATCTGCAGGCTTCATCATTGTCTTTGCAGCTTGGCAATTTTTTTTTGTTCGGTTGACCTGGGGTCTTCTCCTGACATCCTCCTGCGGGAGGCCGGGGTCCCACTTATCTCCATCCCCGCTCCACCTTGGGTAGCAGAGCTGGAAGACAGGCCAGGATCCATCAATCGATGCCCACCATTGGAGGAGAAGTGGGACCCACACAGTGTGACCATCTCCAGCTCGGAGATGGCGGATGTAGGAGCGACTGCACCAGTGGCAGCAGGGAAGCAGCACATTGTCAGGACCCCAGGGACGATGTCAGACTGACGTGACTGGAGGAGCGGAGATGGTGAAGTCTACAGTGAGGGAAAGATGAACTTTTGAAGATGTTTCAGTTTCAGTAACATCAACTTAATGTCAATTTATTTAGGATTTTACCATTAATTCCATAATCCAAAATGACACACGTACGTCGATCCAGTGAAATTTTTGTTTTGCATGCAGTACAGGCAGATCATTCCATACAAAGTGCATTAGAGTAATAGAACAGAGCGAGGAGTACAATTCTATGGCTGCAGAGAAGGCGCACAAAGAACGAGAACAACATTTAAATTTAGCATTTGAGAGGTCCATTCAGAAGTTTAATAACAGCAGGGAAGAAGCTATTCTAGGCACAAGTGACAATATTATATAAGTCTAAATAAATCCTCAATGACAGACGGGTGCATCTCATTACAGCAAAAGTTAAGGCTGAAGCATTTGCAACAATCTTCAGCCCAAGGTACCAAGTGGATGATCTATCTTTGCTTCCTCTTGAGGTCCCTAGTATCTCACAGTTTCCAGCAAAATGCCCTCAAATTGTTTTCTCGGTGCATGCTGTACTCAGCAGTGATTTCCGGCACTGAAAATTGATGTGTTGACATGCCAATTGGTATACATGTAACCACAGGGGAATGACAAGATTCTGGTCTTCAGCTAATTCAATTTATTCCAATGTGATATCAAGAAACAGTTGGAGACATTGGATACTGCAAAGGCTATGGGCCCTGACAAAATTCCAGTTATAGTACTGAAGACTTGTGCTCCAGAACTTGCTGCTCCCCTAACCAAGCTGTTCCAGTACAGTTACAACACTAGTATCTACCCAACAATGTGGAAAATTGCCCAGGTATGCCTTGAACACAAAGTGCAGGACAAATCCAACCCGGCCAACTACCACCCCATCAGTCTACTCTCGGTCATCAGTAAAGTGATGGAGGGTGTCATCACCTATTCAGCAATAACCTGCTCAGTGACATCCAGTTTGTGTTCTGCCAGGGCCACTCAGCTCCTGACCCCATTACAAATTGGTTCAAATCACGAGGAGCATAGTTAAGGTGAATAGCCAAAGTCTTTTCCCCAGGGTAGGGGAGTTCAAAACTAGAGGGCACAGGTTTAAGGTGAGAAGGCAAACTTATAAAAGAGTCCTAAGGGGCAACTTTTTCACAAAGAGGGTGGTGCATATGGAACAAGCTGCCAGAGGAAATGTTAGAGGTGGATACAATTACAACACTTAAAACACAATTGGACAGATACATGCATAGGAAAAGTTCAAAGGGAGGCAAATGGGACTATTCAGTCTAGGAAATGTGGTCAGCATGGACAAGTTGGGGCGCAGGGTTGGTTTCCATGCCGTATGCCTCTAAACAGTGCGAGAGGGTGGTACATGGTGGTCAGTACCATTCTTTGACCATGTTTGACCTGATGCCATGAGAATTCATGACACTCAGGACAGCTCCCTCCCACTGTATCAGCACCTCTGCTGGATCTGTCCCAACAGTGGGACAGCACATACCCAGGGATGGTGATTGCATTTTGTGGGACACTATCTCTGAGTATAACTCTGTCAGATATTGCTTGAGTAGGTTGTGAGACAGCTCACTGAATTTTGGCACTAGCCCCCAGATATTGGTAAGGAAGTCTTTGCTGAGTTTACCATTGCCCTTTCTGGCACCTAGGTTGATGCCAGGTAATCTGGTTTTTTTTTTCAGATTTTTAAAAATAGTTTTGAGTAGCCTGCTAGACCACTTCAGAATCACATGTCGTTCCCTAAAGGGAATTAGTAAACCAGATGGGTTTTTAATGATAATCAACAGTTTCATAGTCATCATTTGACTTTTAGTTCCAGATATTCTTTGATGGGACTTGAACCTGGGTCCCAGCGTATTGTCTATAGTTAGTTTGGGGTTACTAGTGCAGCACCTATTCCATTTGTCACTGCCTCCACCTGAGCATAAGCACTTGGTCTAAGATCTTAACCATTTGCTTCTCTCCATTCCAGGTACTCAGTAAGAACGTTGACCATTTCCCACACCTTGGAAATCCCTTTTTTGAAGGAAGGCGGACATAGATGATCATTGTCACCTCCAAAGTGCCAGCTCAGCCTGCAACCACTTGAGCACCAGGGTGTTACCACACACAACTGAGTGATCTTCCTGCAACCAAAATCACCATGATCTTTTCTTTGTAAACTACTAACCACCACCAGTAATAAACCACTCACGTAGCCAATTCAATATTTACATGTTAAGGCCAATGCAAACCAACAAAGTTGAGGGGGAGATAGGGAGAGAAGGAAGGGAATAAATAAAAATGGAGTTGGAGGGGGAAAAGGAAGCACTGTTATCCCCCTGCGATGCCCACCTCTCTCTAAAGGCATCAAGAGCATTGATGCATGCCGTGTGCTCCTTCTCCAAGCGTACCCAGGCACAATCATAACCACCAAATAGGGGCAGTCGGCAGACATGACCCCCTCCATGGCCCGCTGCATGGACCCAGGTTTATAGCCAGCCTGGTCAGGCTCAGGAGCAGGCCCACGAGGAGGTCCTCTGATCTGGCCCCACCCTCCGCACAGGTGCCCAAAGATCAGGAGTGTGGGGCTGAAGTGCAACCAAATTGAGACCCTTGTATTTATAACATAATGCACACAGCCTTCATATTTATTGAAGAGGAGGGAATGGCCTGGTGGTATTATTGCTAGATTGCTAATCCAGAAACCCAGGTAATATTCTCTGGGGGCCTAGGTTCAAATATGTCGTGGCAGATGGTGAAATTTGAATTAAACATAAAATGAAATCTAGAAGTCTAATGATGACATGAGACCATTGCTGATTGTCAGATAAGCCAATTAACACCTAGTCTGGCCTATGTGTTTCTCCAGATTTACAGCAATGTGGTTGATTCTAACTGGCCTCTGTGCAATTAGGGACAGGCAATAAATGCCGGCCTGGTAGTGGTACTCACATTGTGTGAATGAATAAAAGAAATTAAGGCTTTCTCAATTATATTTATTGCGCACACAGATTAGAAGTTTCCTCTTTCCCTATTATATTACAGGTAATGGAACATAAACACCAACTGTTGTATTTATTGATACAATGCACACCCAGACCACAAACTGAGTTGTATTTATTGGTGCAATTTAACTCCAGCCTTATTAAAGTATATTCACTGTTGCACAGCACTCAGGGGAGTTTACAAGTAAATCAACTGACTTTACATTCTGAAAAAAAAAATCTCACGATATACACCCTGAAAACAGCTCTTTTGGACGTATGCAATAGACAAGTCAAATTTGGGGGCACCAAACGCTCAGAAGCCTTTGAAGATGTTAAATCTTACTGGATTATCAGGTCAGGACATACCTCAACCATGCTAAATTAATCAACCTGTTGTACAGTTTCTCAGTGTCTAAAGGCATTCACCACCTCCCTTCCTAATCTTGCATGTCAATGACACCCCAGCCCCAAACGCTTCAGAGAAGGGAGCTTGGCAGAACTGTGTAGGGTTCAGATGCGGTGGCTACTCAGCTATGCTGCGTGGCCTCCTGCTTCACAGGGCTCCTTATGAACCTGCCCTCCGTGTCAATGGCAAAGTTGTAATTTTTTGGATTGTCCAGAGCTTCTGCTATCCGTTGATCCAAGTTTTCCAGCGTGATGAAATTCTTCACCTCCTCCTGAGAGACAGAAAGACAGAAGGTGAGAGAGGATTGATAAAGCCAGGCTTTTCATACCGATTGTGTCAACTTCCAAACTTGCATATCACTTTTATATAACATCAGGGTCTGTATTGCATGGCATATTATTGATCTAGGGGCTTATGTGGCAGTGGTCAGGAGTCCCATGTTCACATACCAACTGCTTCAGAGGAGTGTCATAATATGTCTGAACAGTTTGATTAAAAATATCTGCAATCTCCCAATGTTTTAGATAGTTTCTGAAATGGCCCAATGCAGGACATTTAAAAGGCATCTGGATGGGTACATGAAGAGGAAGAGTTTAAACAGACGGAGGCCAAATATTGGCAGTTGGGACGAGATTAATTTAGGATATCTGGTCAGTATGGACGAGTTGGACTGAACGGTCTGTTTCCATGCTTTACATTTCTATAACTCTGTACAGCAGACAGTCTGCAAACTGCACATATTATCATTTTTGAGATTTAGATTTAAAATAGGACCAGGCAGATTCCGAACAGTCACGTAATGTTAATGGATAAAATATTTCTACTGTTGAGTTTATAACAGATAGAATAAACAAATTAAGGCAGTTAGCTTAGCTCTGACTTCTGGTTGGAAAGGTCCGGTTTCCGAAGAACTCAAGACTTCTGTTTAAATGAAGAGAGTCTTTCTCAGAGAGGAAGCGGGTTTGTCGGTTCACGACAGAGTAAGATCATAGACTGCAACAGTTCAAAAAGGCAGCTCACTACCACCCTCTCAAGCAGAATGAAAGATGGGTTGCTAAGCCAGTGGCACTCACATCTCATGAGAGAACAAAAAAAGTTCTCACAGCTGAAGTGGTTTTCAGTCTCGGTATATTCCAAACCAGGAGAGTGTGCGTGGAAACCTTCTGGTTGTCAGAACTAAGAATGTTGAGATAATCAGGACTGTGAAAGGTTCATACCAGCAGACTTGGAAATGAATCATGAAAAACGAATCATGAAAAACAGCCTCAGCCAACAGGGGGAATGAAATTGGAAAATGTCAATTAAGTAAAGATTTTAAAAAATTGAGTTTAAGAGGAATTTTTCTCTGGAATTTGGTTTCAGTAATGGATAGTGTTGGAGACAGATTGACACTTTGTTTTGAATTGTGTTAAGATCTAAGTGCCTTCTATGTAACCTTATAACCTATATAACATTATAACCTTGTTTTGTCCTATTTCATGTCATAAACTTATGTCCAGCTGTTAAAGAACTTCTGCCTTGTGCGAATTTCTTTTGGTGATTAACCACCATACTAATCAACTTACAAAATATTTGCATATGATTTATCGAGCTGTGGCATCTGGTTGTCCAGAGTTACCATCAAAACAGCACAGCCAGATCCCAGAAACAAGAATTTTTCTTATTTACTCGTGGGACCTGGACATTGCTGCCTGACCAGCATTTATTGCCTGTCCCTATTTGCTCTTGAGGAAGGTGATAGTGAGTAATGTTGAACTGGACAACTTTTGTATTAAAAGGTTTTGTCAAGATCACAAACCGCTGATGTACGAACCACCTTTTGGCACAAAGATTGCCATTCGTATGAGTTTTCCAGGACTGCACACTTCCTTACAGACAGTGGGGATGTTTGCAGAAATGGCCAGCTCTATAGCAGATTTCCAAAATACAAGGGCTGCCTAATTATAGCAGAAGAAATGATTATTGGTAGGTGTCGGAGCTCCTCCACCCACTACCCAGATATGTTACCTACAACCCCTAGCTGAAACATACAAACTAGGAGCAGGAGTATATCATTTATCCCTTCAACTAATGGGTGATCTTCTATCTCAAAAGCCATATTCTCGCTTGGTGCCTACCTCTCTGTACTATGTAGAGATAGATTACCAAGTGAAAGTGAGAAATGCTCAATAGGTCAGACAGCATCTGTGCAGTTCTGATATAAGGTCACTGCACTGAAATGTTAACTCTGTCTCTCTCCATAGATACTGTTCGGAAATCTGGATCATTCAGACTTGCGATTCCACAAAATCAAAACCAGGAATTGTCAAGCTGATGAAAATGGCAAATTCAGCTCACCCCAACGAGTGACATGACTGAAACACACAACCTGGCCATTTAACTCTAGGAAGGATGTTGTGAAACTTGAAAGGGTCCAGAAAAGATTTATAGGGAGAGGCTGAATAGGCTGGGGCCTTTTCCCCTAGAGTGTCAGAGGCTGATGGGAGACCTTATAGAGGTTTATAAAAAAAATCACAAGGGGCATGGATTGGGTCAATAGTCAAGGTCTTTTCCCCAGGGTGGGTAGGTCCAGAAGTGGATGGCATAGGTTTAATGTGAGAGGGGAAATACTTAAAAGGGGCCCAAGGGGCTACTTTTTCACACAGAGGGTGGTGTGTGCTGGGATTGAGCTGTCAGAGGTGGTGGTGAGGCAGGTACAATTAAAAGGGCTCTGCTTGGGTACGTGAATAGGAAGGTTTTAGAAGGATATGGGCCAAATGCTGGCAAAATGGGACTGGATTAATTTAGGATTTCTGGTCGAGATGGACGAGTTGGACCAAGGAGTCTGTTTCTGCGCTGTACAGCTCTACGACTCCATCTCATTGCAGCATCCATGGCGTTTTGATGTAAGGTCATAAACTGCTCTGCTTCTCTCTCCACAGATTTGCTGAGTATTTCTAGAATCTTCTGTATTTATTTCAAATTTCAAGCAGTATGCTCCATTTTGAGCATCTGTAGCAGCAGTTCTGGAACCATAACCATCTTCCATGGGCTCCACGGCTGTACAACTCTGACCTCTTGTGCTTTCCCCATCTCCTTTGCACCAATCGTTTTAGGTCTCAGGACACAAGCTCTGGAATTACTACCCCGAACTTTTCTTCCCTCCTAAATATTTGACCAGGCATTAAGTTCCTTGTTCTTGTGTTTCTGTTTTTAATGCAATGTCATTATTTATCCAACAATGTTCCTGCAAAAGTTCCTTGTGATGCTTTTCTATATTGAGGGGATAACATAATGTAGGTTGTAATGACCTTAACACTGGAAAACAGAGCCATAAAGCAGCAGGGAGCTTCCACAATGCTGGACTAATTGGCAAAGCAGCTGTGTGTGGAGAAACTTGAGTGATATTTTGATATATCTTTAATGATTATTAACGATATCACAACCGCACCATCGATGATTAATTCACACAAGTACACTTTCAATGGCAAATGAGAAATCCATTTCTTTGGTACAATCTATCTGGGAGCACAGTTTAAATCCAGCAGAGTTTGTGCAGATAAAAAGATTTTTTTGTCTCTCAGCTTCCCCTTACCTTGAAAACATATGTGAGAATGCTGGGAAGATAAACTGTGCATAAGAATTTGCAACTGAGTCAAGGTTAGGCAATGGAAAGTGCAGCAGCCAAATAGCTAGAATGCTTATTTCACATCTCCCCCTGCTTGAGGAGAGTTTGATGAAACGACATAGAGAATGTTTTATTCTGTATCTAACATGTTTTACCTACCTTGCAAATATTTGATGCAATTACCCTATCTAATCTCACACCATACCAGTTCCAGGAGTGTTTGATAGGGATAGTGTAGAGGGAGCTTTATTTTATATCTAACCGTGTGCTGTCCCTGTCCTGGGAGTGTCCGATGGGGACAGCACGATGGGAGGATTACACTGGATGTGTAACAGATTGGAGTTGTGACAATGAAGCTGTACATTGCACCCACGCTCGATGTGTACCTGAAGCCGCAGTACTTCCTGTTCCTTCTCCTTGAGGAATTCACTCTGTTTCTTTTCTCTGACGATGGCTGCTTGGAGTTTCTGCTCCTGCTCCTCTTCTGCCTCTCTTTGTAGTCGCTCCTCACTGCCACACAAACCCAAATACAAAGGCATTGATTGAAACATATCTGGGTGTTACTTTGCCTCGTTGATTTGCCCTTTCTCACAGTTTAAAACAAAAACAAATAAAGATTTTAATACCGTGCCCATTCACTACCGTGGGGTAACATGAAATTCTGTGATTTCACACTCCTCAATCACCAACCTTATGGATTGTTAAGAGATCAGATACAGGGAGTTGCTTTTCCACTTGTGGGAGATAGCACAATTCGAGACCATCAGTCTAAGGCAGTCGCAAAGAAATCAAAACAGGAATTCAGCAGAAACCTCTTTACATAGAGATCAGGGAGATCACCGAACATACTAACACCTAGACTCTCTACACAGTGTGGAAACAGGCCATTTGGCCCAGTGCCCCTCTGATCACCATCCATCCAGACCCATCCCCCTGCCCTATAATCCTGCACTTTCCATGGACATGGCACATCCATCTAACCTGCACATCTTTGGACTGTGGGAGGTAACCAGAGCACCCGTAGGAAACCCATGCAGACACGGGGAGAATGTGCAAACTCCACACAGACAGTCGCCCGAGGGTGGAATTGAACCCGGGTCTCTGGCGCTGTGAAGCAGCAGTGCTAACCACTGAGCCACCATGCTGCCATGGAGCAGTTAAGATAAGTAGCACTCATGTATTAAAGGGAAGCGAGATAATCACAAGATGGAATGAATGGACAGACCGATAGGAAGAAATGATAAATTGAGGGAGAGATGTGTGGTATAGATTAGTTGGTCTGACGGCCCATTTCTCTGCTGTAAATTTTGCTGGAATAAGGTGGCTGTGATTTAATACGGCTCAGTGAAGTGTGAGACTTAACAACAACTATTATTTATCTGAGATAACAAGGTGTAGAGCTGGATGAACACAGCAGGCCAAGCAGCATCAGCGGAGCAGGAAAGCTGACGTTTCGGGCCTAGACCCTTCTTACTAGTGCTTTTAACATGAGGAAATGTTCCAAGCCCTTCCCGAGGGCATTATAAAAGAAAGTACGATGCTGAGCTACACAAGGTGATATTAGGGCCAAATGCTTGCTCAAAGGAGATAGATATCAAGAATTGCCTTCAAGGAGAATAACAACAGATAGGAAGAGAGTTTGGGACCTAGGTGACTCAAGACAGGCACCAATAGTGGAGTGATTAAAGTTGGGAACACACGGAGACCAGTATTAGAGACCTGCAGGTATGTTGGAGGATAGAGTGTCTGAAGATGACAGCGATTGGGAGGGGTAAGGCCATGGAGGGGTACGAAAACAAAGACGGAAATTTTAAAATCAAGACATTGGGACGACACGGTGGCTCAGTGGTTAGCACTGCTGCCTCACAGCGCCAGAGACCCAGGTTCGATTCGGCCCTCGGTCAACTGTCTGGGTGGAGTTTGCACATTCTCCCCGTGTCTGCATGGGTTTCCTCCTACAGTCCAAAGATGGATAGGCTAAGTGGACTAGTTGTGGGAAATGCGTGTTTACAGGAATAGAGTAGGGGGGTGGGTCTGGGTGGGATGCTCTTTGGACGGTCAGTGAGGACTCAACGGGCCACATGGCCTGCTCCCACACTGTCGGGATTCTATGACATGCTTGACCAAGAACCATTTATAGCTCAATAAGCACAAGGTGACAGGGGAATGGAATGTGGTGTGCATTAAGACACAGGCCACAGAGTTTTGGATGATGGCCAAATACTGTGAATGCTGGAAATCTGAAAGAGTTATAGGGCACAGTAGAAGCCTTTCAGCTCATCAAGTCTGCGGCAACCTACCTACACTATTCCCACCTTCCAGCACTTGGCCGAAAATCTTGAATGTTATGACTTTTCAAGTGCTCATCCACGTATTTTGCAAAAGTTGTAAAGTTTCCCACCTCAATTACCCTCCTAGGCAGTGCATTCCAGACCCCCAGCATTCTCTGGATAAAAATGATTTTCCGCAAATCCCCTCTAAACGTCCTGCCTTTCACATTAAAATTATATCCCTTTGTTACTGACCTTTCAATGAAGGGGAACAGCTGCTTCCTATCCACACTGCTCATAATCTTACATCCCTCTATCAGATCCTGTCTCAGCCTTCTCTGCTCTAAAGAAAACAACTCAAGTTTATCCAGCCTCTCTGAAATGCTCCATCCCAGGCAACGTCCTGGCAAATTTCCTCTGCATCCCCTCCAGTGCAATCACATCCTTCCCATCATGTGATGACCAGAACTGTACACAGTACTCCAACTGTAGCTGAACCAAAGTTTTGTAAAGCTCCAACATGACTTCCCGGCTCTTATAATCAATGTTATGATTGATAAAGGCAAGTGTCCTGTATAGGTTCTTAATGACCCTATAAACCTGTTGTGCCACCTTCAGGGACATGTAGACAAGCATCCAGAGATCCCCTGTTCCTCCGAGCTTCCTAGTGTCCCGTCATTCATTGAGTGCTCCATTGTCCAGTTCCTTCTTCCAAAGTGCATTGCTTCACACTTATCAGGATTAAATTCCATCTGTCATGGTCTGCTCAACTGACCCATCCATCTCTATCTTCCTGTAACCTAAGGCCTTCTTCCTCACTATTAACCACCTGGCCAATCTTTCTGTTGCCCTCAAACTTGCTTATCACTGCCCTCTCATTCTCACCTACATCATTTGTAAATACACAAACATTAAGGGGCCCAGCATTGATCCCTGGGGTATGCCACTGCACACTGGGCTCCACTCACACAAACAGTGACCACCTTCTGACTCTTACCACTAAGCCAACGTGGATCCAATTTTCCCAAGTTACCGTGGATCCCACATGCTTTTATCTTCTTTATCAGATTCCTATGTAGGACCTTCACAAAGGCTTTGCAGAAATCCACATAAACTACATCAACTGCACCACCCTCATTGACACACCTGGTCACCCCCTTGAAGAATTCAATCAATTTGTAAAGTATGATCTCACTCTGACAAAGCCATGTCAACTATCCCTGATCAAACCTTGCCTCTCCACATGGAGATTAATTCTCTTGTTCAGAGCTTTCCCAGTTGTTTCCCTATGCTGGAGAAACTCAGCAGGTCTGGCAGCATCTGTGGAGAGAGAAACAGAGTTAACGTTTCAAGTCCAGTATGACTCTTCTTCAGAGCTCAGTTTTGGATAACCTCAGAGGTGGAATGTGAAAGATTAACTCAAAGCATGCTGGAACAGTCAAGCCTAGTCGAGAGGTAATGAAGGCACGATTTCAGCAGTAAACGTATGAGACAGGTGAGGTTGAGTGATGTTACAGAGGTGGAAATATATAGTATTGTGAGAGCTTGGAAACTCACATTAAGATCAAATGTGACATCAAGACTGTGAACAGACTGGGTTAATCTCAGACTGTTGCCGAAACAAGTCTGAAGTTAAGGAAAAGAGATCGGAAACGGGGACAAAAAATGGTTTCAGTCTTATCAGCATTTAAGTATTTCTGCTCATTCAATACTGGACGTCATAGAGCATACTGCATGGAAACTGACCCTTCGGTCCAACTTGTCCACGTCGAGTTTGCCAAACTAAACTGGTCCCGTTTACCTGTGTTTGGTCCCTATCCCTCTAAACCTTTCCTACTCATGGAACTGTCCAAAGGTCGTTTAAATGTTCTAACTGTACCTGCATCTACCACTTCTTCTGGCAGTTTATTCCAGATACAAACCACACTCCGAGTCAAAATGTTGTCCCTCGGGTCCCTCTTAAATCTTTCCCCTCTCACCTTAAAAATATGCCCCCTAGTTTCGAAATACCCCATCCTAGGAAAAAGACTTTTTCTATTCAATCAATCAATGCACTCATTATTTTATAAACTTCAATAAGGTCAGCTCTTAACCTCCAACACTCCAGTGAACAAAAGTCCCAGCCTTTCCCTCCAATTCCTGCAAGATCCTGGTAAATATTTTCTGACTCCTCTCCAGTTTGATAATATCCTTTCTATAACAAGGCGACCAGGACTGCACACGTTACTCCAAAAGTGGTCTCATCAACATCCTGTATAACCTCAACATGACATCCCAACACCTACACTCAATGGTCTGAGCAACAAAGCCAAGTGTGCTAAATGTCTTCTTAACCACCCTGTCAACCTGTGATGCAACTTACAAAGAACTGTGTATCTGAATCCCTGGGTCTCTCTGTTTGACAACTAAGCAGTCTGACAATTTTGTAACTCAGAGTCCAGAAGAAGTCATACCATACTCAAAATATTAACTCTGTTTCTCTCTCCACAGATGCTGCCGAGTTTCTCCAGCATCCCGTGCTTGTTGTTGCATTAAAAGATGTTTGACTCACCGTATTTTTCGGAGTCGTTCATTTTCCAAATTGTTGAAAGCCATGAGCTTCTGATGTTCTTCAGCTTCTAACTGTGCTCGTTCCTCAGCCAGTGAGCCCACTTCCTCTTCATAACGCTTGCGTAGCATTTCCTCCTTAAACTCAGCCCTTCCATTCCAGAGGTGAAAGAGAAACAAGATCAAATTTCGCTCACTTCATCTTTCGGGCGTGGACAGACAATACAATTTCAAACCCACCACCAGGTCTCAGAGGCTCAAGCCCAGTCCTGTAACTTCCAGTTCCCTGGCATAAGGAACGAGCAGCACCAATGGTGACTGACTGGGTAGTGCTCTTTGGTCAGAAAGTGTGGGTTCACAGCGCCGTTCCAAAGACACAAGAAGAAAATCTGTACTGACACTACAGATGCAATGCTGAAGCAGTGCTGCACTGTTGCAGGGGCCATGTTTAAAGTGAGAACTGAAACCAAGGCTCTATCTGCCTCCACAGGTAGTTGTTAAAGATCCCACAGGACTATTACAAAGTACAGCAAGGAAACTCCTTGGGTTATGACTAGCTTTTGTCCTGAAGAAACATATGATCTGACCATTACAAGTTCCTACATTAATGCAATAAAGTACGTTGAACTTTCTTCTTGACAACAACGATTATGCTTTAGGTACACAGAAAATAGGAGCATGTATAGACCATTGTGCCCTTCAAACCTGCTCTGCCATTCAATACAATCATGGCTGAACATCCAACTTAATACCCAGTTCAACAAGGTGCAGAGCTGGATGAACACAGCAGGCCAAGCAGCGTCATAGGAGCAGAAAGGCTGACGTTTCGGGCCTAGACCCTTCTTTCCCGATTTCTCCCCATATCCTTGATACTTTCAAGGTCAGAATTCACACAACACCAGGTTGTAGCCCAACAGGTTTACTTGGAAACACAAACTTTCGGAGCCTCATTAACACCTGACGAAGGACTAAAACCTGGTGTTGTCTGATTTCTGACCTTGTCCAACCCAGTCCAACACCATCAGCTCCACATCATTGATATGCCAGTATTAAAAAAAACTTGGTCTACACCTCTCTTGAGAGTCTTCAGTGCTTTGGCCTCGACAATTTCCTGCGGCAGAGAATTCCACAGGCTCACCACTGTCTGGGTGAAGAAATTCCTCCTCATCTCTAAAAAGGCCTTACTTTTAGACTGCGACTGTGACCATTATTGATATAGGCTCTTCACTCTCAATCAATATTCCGCCCACCCGTTTATTAAGGTAGGTGCCTCTCACCCACTGTCTATTAC